TTTTTCCTTATGGTTTTTCGCTTTTTCGAACAACTATTATCACCCGTTGGCTCCTTATCATTTTTCGGACAACTGCTGATCTGCCGTCCATGGCAAAAACACGCCTATGTAACAAGCCCAGCATTGCAGCATATTATATCTTATCAATTACTAACAAATACCGGCATGGCGGCATGGCATACCGCATTAGTGCATTACCGCCTATATCATTATAATTTTATTTTTTCATGTTAGAAAATTCAAATTTTAATGACTATAAAAACACAAAATACCTATATTATGGAATTCATCGAAATTATACATAATATTACGTTCATACAATAATAAATCAAATAATATTTCACGGTTCCATTTATTCTATGTTACAATCATATCGTTTCTCAACAAGATATATATTATATTATATACCTAAACGTTTCTTCCTGTAATACCATCTGTAAGTAGATAAATGCCTTATTATAATAAACAATAACTTCAAAACAGTGATGTCATTTTAGATTTCACCATTTAGTAGTAACACTTCTAATGGTCCTTTTACAACATATTACATGTTGTCTACATGGTTCCTGATTTTTACATGTTTGTTTCATTGAACTAGTGCTGTATTGTCTATTGTTATTTTTGACAATTTAATAGTATATTGTCAATTAGACATTTGTTGAAGAACGTTGTACTCTTATGTGTTGTCTCCATCTTACACATACTACATGGCAAATTCCCGTTCACTTATTTCAATAGTGTGCTGTTAGTTTTGATATTAGAGTGAATTGACCCATGGTCAAACTTTTAGGTAAGAAAATTATCTGTGTTCTCATGTTAGTTTTTTACAATATTTTAATTTTTAAATGAATTATAAGCATGTTAAGTGTGAATATTTGAAAATTCAAGTTACCCATTTTAAAATTAAAATATCGTAAAAAAAACAATGAGAGAACACTGATGATAAGTCAATCCACTCTAATATCAAAACTAACAGCACACTATTGAAACTAATGAATAAAAATTTGCCATGTGGTACGTATGTAAGATGAAAACAATACATACTGATGTGACGTCCTCTTAAACTATAATATGAAACTAAAAACTCATTCCTCACTTAGAATTTAGAATAACACCTACAATACTAAAAATTACCGAATAATTTTGTTATGGTACTGCAACCAGTGACTTGTAATATATATTTTAAGTTTATGACTGCAACTACCTCAAGTTAACAGTGCGTAAAAAGTTTATAACTTATATTAATTTAAGACATCGCTTTTATGTGTTTTAAGTTTGTAAAGAAGAACTATTTATATTATTTTGTCACGAAATTGTCTTATRAAAATAAAACGTTTCGTTAACCAGTTGCAGTAACAGAATTTACTTAACCGTAAAATCAATTGAATAGCTGCAATCGTAATAGCCTTAAAAGTACCTTTTTTATTGAAATTTTACTCTTACGGAAAAACACAGTTTGACCAGTTAATTTTAACAATCACTAAGAATAAACTTAAAAGTCAGGATACCATTAAAAATTATATGAGGTCATATTATGCACTTATAGTCTACCCATAAAATGACATCTCTGCTTGACTGCTTCAAATGAATTAATATCTTGATTAGTTGTTTTTCCGTAAGAGTTTAACAAATAATAGGTTGTTGTGTTTGATGTTAATAAAAGATATAATTTTATCAGGCATGTAAGCTGGGAGGGATTCAACCCACCCCCTCCGAAATAATTTGAATGTTTAAAATTAAGTCAAATTATACACCTATTTTTATTACTAGCTGTTGACTGTTTTTCTCTGTATATTAGTCGGGCATGAAATACAAGTTTATATAGTATTATAGTTGAATGATTCATCGAGGTGATTATTGAGAACCATGCATGTTTGAGAACTGTATCACTGCAATATATAATATACCTAAAAAACTCATATTTTGTTGAGAATCTTATCTTATTAYCTATGTAAAATCATATCAACTAGAAACTATATTGGAACAGTATCTTCAGTTATAACATTTTTCTGAGTTTCATCGCAAAGAACAAAAACACTGATTGAATGAATATATCCTTCAAAGTTGAAAAATACTTTAATAAAAATGTGTGAAATGCGATGGGTAGATCAACTTGAAAATCTGATTTGATTTAAAAAATTATATAAAGCTATTTATTATACTAAAATAATTGGAAAGGTTTACAAATATAGAAGCATCATGTACAGCTTTACAGCTTTCAATTTTCATTAATAACTCAGTTTTTATCATAGCTTTACATGTGATTAAGAAATTTTTTGTTTAACTTTACCACTATCTTTAGCACTACAAAAAGTTAGTATTATTATGAGCGAGAAACAAATGTATATCAAATATTTAAAGAAATTCGAGAAAATGGCGATAATGAGTTTAAATAAATATTTTCTAATTTAGAAGAGTCTATGTTAGAAGGAATTATAGAAGTATCAAGAACTGTAGGTTGGMAAACTGCACATAATAATATAACAGCTGATTCTCCGGAATAATATTATAAAAGATCAATATTTTTACCTTTTTTGGATTATTTTATTTGTCAATTACAAGATAGATTTACTAATCATATATATATATGAATTTATTTACTGTTTTTGTAATATTAAGTTAGCATATCTTACAAAACAATATGGGAGAAAATATACTTACTGGATTGTCCTTACTAAACATATACCAACATTTTGATTTCGATGTGGAAGTAATTATTGATAGATTTGCTAAGTTACCACTAAAATAGTATTTCATATTTAAGTTAGGATTTTTTTTCAATATAAAATATATAAGCACACATGTGTACCAAAAAACTAACCAACTTTAAAAACCCTACAGTACCCTCCCTACATCCAATGGCCTATGTTGCTGCAGGTCAACTAAATGAAAAAATATGTACATTTTTTGATTTTTTTTTCTATTTTCTTAATAGTATAATATACCTAAGTAATTTTATGTATATAATCATCAAATTAATTTCTGTTCTGTTTGTAATTTATATTATTTAAAATTGTATTTATTATTAGTATTAGTATTATTATTCCTAATGTAGTATAATTCCTATATACTTATTTCTGAATAAATGATATACATACAGTTTTGATATTTAGCATAATAATAAATTGTCACATTAAAAATAATGAGCGAGGAGGAAGAAATTATTTTATTATGTTGCTGTATAATTTGTATTGCTATATTTTGTAAATCTCTCCCTCCCCCACAAAATTTTATTCTGTGTACGTACCTGAATTTTATAATTTACAWGTATTGAAAATTTTGATTTAAATAGAAATAATATATGTGTAGAAAAATATTATATTTTATTAGATTCTATAACATTTTAGAAAAATATAATATTAAAAACCTTCATATTATACCACCGTACCACATATTTAATCCTAGAATCTATTATTATTCAGGAACTTCAATCATGTGTTGCTGAT